TTCATTTCTTTTGTGGGAAATCTTAAGGTTTTCTCTCATTTTCATGTATTTTCCCAATACGTAAAGAAAAGCTGAAAAATCAGTAATAATCTATTTTAAGAATTTAGACTATTAGGGACTGGAGAGATGACTACCAGTTAAGAGCACGGGCTGCTCTTCCATAGAACCTAGATTCAATTCCCAGCACCTACATGGCAATTCACAACTGTCTGTAACTTCTGTTCCAGGCGATCCAACACCCTCTCTGGCCTCTAAGGGCCCTGCACACATGTGGTATACTTACATGCACATGGCAAAATACCCATACACATAAAATAAATAATTTAGACTCCTTACTTTGATGAAAAGCCTCTTTACTCCTTAATTCTAGGCTGCTCTTCCAGGGTTAGAGGATGTATGAGATACTTTCTCATTTTGATGTCTATTAGTCTATAGCTTGAAATTCTTCCATTTTATTGACCCCCATCTTTTATTCATTTCCTCTTTTCTGGCTTTCTAGTCTGCACTGTATTGTGTGTGGATGTCTGTAAACACCAGGGCCAGCAGAGTAATGATCTGCATGAGGTAAGAAGAAAATCTGGTTCAGCATGACACAGTAGCCAGTGTTGGTTCAAACTTCTAGAGTGTGACACTGGACAGTTTATTTTAGGCATCTTTTAAGTACAGTACAGTTTTGGAAAAAAGTTTCCTGATAACAACTCAATCCTGTGTGCATAATAGCACTTAAGGTGTGACTACATTGAAACTCTTTTGCAAAGTACATGTGACCTCTTTTTCATAAACATGGATTCTATAAACTGAGAGCCTAGGGAAGGATCTGATGTGGTTTAGGTTATACAGATAGCACAGAAGGCACCAAATTATAAAGTATGAAGGCACCAAGCTATAAAGCACATGCGACATATAAAGATGTTGTCATAGTTAGTTTCTATTGCTGTGAAAAAACACCATGACCACAGCAACTCTTAAAGGAAAACATTTAATTGGGACTGGCTTACAGTTTCAGAGGTTTAGTCCATTGTCATCATGGTGGGAAGCAAGGCAGCATGCAGGCAGACATGGTGCTGGAGAGGTAGTTGAGAGTTCTACATCTTGATCCTCAGGCAACAGGAAATGAACTGTGTCCGACACTGGGAGTAGCTTGAGCATATGAGACCTCAGCCCACCCCCACAATGACACATTTCTTCCAAGGCCACACCTACTCCACACCTCCTAATAGAGCCATTCCCTACATGCCAAGCATTTAAATGCATGAGTCTATGGGGACCATACCTATTCATACTGCCATAGGGCCAACCTAGGATCAGTCAGCCAGATGATGGAAAACAGAGAAAGCCCTAAATGTCCTTCTTCAAAGCTGAGCAATGTGTGCGAGCCTGGTCCTCAGGATGAAAAGACTCTTGTTTCATGAAAGGTATAATTCTCCAGTAGAAAGGGTTGAGGTAGTAGAATAAACCACAAATGTCCTCATCTGGATGCACACATATTGGTAAAATGTTAGGACTCCAAATGCGCATGTGTACACACACACACACACACACACACACACACACACACACACAAAACCTAAACGTTTTCATGACAGAAAAACAGGTTATTTATCAATCAATAAATAACTAATCAGATTGGTGTCTGACAAACAATATTGGATACAGTAAGCAACTAGAAGTTAGAAAACTTCCATTAAAAATCTGAAGGAAGCCGGGCGGTGGTGGCGCACGCCTTTAATCCCAGCACTCGGGAGGCAGAGGCAGGCGGATCTCTGTGAGTTCGAGGCCAGCCTGGGCTATCAAGTGAGTTCCAGGAAAAGGCGCAAAGCTACACAGAGAAACCCTGTCTCGAAAAACCAAAAAAAAAAAAAAATCTGAAGGAAAATGAAACAAAAAGTTGGAACTCAAACTTAATTACTTGAAGTAAGCTGCAGTAAACTAGAAAACTAGTGCTGAGTTGAAAGATAAAGCAACAAGGGCAAAGAGGAGGAGGAGGGGCAGGAGGAGGGTCAGGAGGAGGAGAAGGGGCAGAAGGAAGAAAAGGAGGATCGGGGAAGAAGAAGAAAAGAACGAAAGGAAAGGGCCATTAAGAAGGAAACATTAAGACTCAGCTAGTAAATGTTTATGCAAATTGTAACACGCAAAAGGGACTGCTGGTGTATGCCTTTCCCATGGGGAGGCAGAGGCAGGCAGATTTCTGAGTTCAAGGTCAGCCTGGTCTATATGTCGAGTTCCAGGACAGCTAGGACTACACAGAGAAACCCTGTCTCAAAAACCAACCAACCAACCAACCAAATAACAGATTAGCCTTAAACTAAAATCTCAGGAGTACACCAGAAGAGATCAGGATGAAAAGCTGAAGGGGATGGATGGATATGGCAACTGAGTAAACACTAAGGAAAGATAACCAGCAAGGCAGTGGGTAGAGTAAGTGCAGACTGTAATCCCAGCATGCCAGAGATGGAAGCAGGAGGACCAGCCTCAGCCACATAGTGGGTTTGAGGCAAGCCAGGACTACAAGAGACCCTTGTCAAAAAACAAAACAAAAAAACAAATGAAACATATAAAAGACAACAGGAAAAAAAGTAACAATAAAACCCAGCTAAATCACCAATAAAATAAGAAAAAGCAGTACCCAACCAATCTATGAAAACGATGGAATCAAATCATGATCTTTCCAGCTACTGTGGTGTGAGTCAGAGCCTCTCAGCCTTGCATAGGCTGACAGGAAACGGTTGTAGGAACCAGAGCAGAGGCCAGGGCCTTTGGAGACCTAGCTGCAGATCCACTTGAACCTATGACTTTGAAAAAGATAAGGGCTTCTGGGGTACTGGAAGCCTTAAGAACAGCCTACCACATGTTCTCCTATATGTCCTAGGGACCAGCAAGTGCCAAGGTCAAGGCTGTGGTTATCCCACATCATCAGAAGGCACTGAAGAGACTGGCCAAGAAGCACAGTGCCCTTTGGCCCTGGTGTGTGAAATGAAGCCACTCTCACAAACCTGGGTGTAGGCCCACAGAAGGCTGCACACACAGTGGACACATGCAGCCAAGCATGTGGTTGGGCCATAACCAGAAAATAGTATTTCACAGCCCTTCTCTGTCTTCTGGCTCTTAAATTCTTTCTGCTTCCTCTTCCTCCCTGTTTCCGGAGTCTCAGAGGCAGTGGTATAAATGTCCTGTTTAGGGATGAGCACTCAGCCATCACTTTTCTCAGCCCCCTGAGCAGCCATAGGCCTCTGCCTTCACCACTGACACTGCAGAAAGAGACTTCTTTGATTAAGGCTGGGAGTAGTATCTCTTTATGAGTATGAACATATATTTAGAAGGCAGCTTGGCACCATGACCTTTTAACTAAATAACAGTATTAAGTTCACTGCTCTGCTATAGTTTATTTTTTTTTATGTGTATGATTATTTTGCCTACATGTATATTACAACAACAGAAGAGGGTTTTTGGATCACCTGGAACTAGAGATAGGATGTTTGTGAGCCACTCTGTGGATGCTAGGATATACACATGGGTCCTCTGCAAGAGTAACAAGTGCTCTTAACCCCTGAGCCATCTCTCTAGCTCCATCAGCCATGGGTTTTTGACCAGGTTTACAGTATCAGGTATGAATTCCCCTCTTGGGGAGCAGGCATCAAATCTAGTCAAAGAGCAGTTGCTATCCCATAGCAGACAAGCCACCGTTACACCAGTGGGCACATCTTACTTGGCGGGTGGATGTTGCAGGCTGCTCTGGGACTTTTTAGGACAAGGACTTGTGTTTCTTCTCAGTGCCTGTTGGCTCTAGAAGATTGTAATGACAGCATGAATGAGGGACTTAATGAAGGCAGGTTAGACAAAGCTGAGTGTTGAGGGGAAACAGAAGTTTCCGTGTGGCCTTTGCACCTCAGTCTTCTTTAGTCCGTTTATATATTTCATGCTGCAAGTCAAGTGTGCTGGATCGTCTTTGAACTTGTTTTTGTTCTTTCTCTTTGTTCAGATAGTATCTGCAGATCTTCATTGCCTAAAGAATAAAGTCTATGCTTTGGGCTGTGATGTTTAAGGTCTTCCACAGTTGAGCCTTAACTCTCCTTATTAGTAATTTGCTCCCTTCTTCCTTCCCTCCTTCCTCCCTCCATCTTTTCATTCCTCCCCCCCTTTTTTTTTTTTTTTTTTTTTTAAAGATTTATTTATTTATTATGTATACAGCATGTATGACTGCAGGCCAGAAGAGGGCACCAGATCTCATTACAAGTGGTTGTGAGCCACCATGTGGTTGCTGGGAATTGAACTCAGGACCTCTGGAAGAGCAGTCAGTGCTCTTAACCTCTGAGCCATCTCTCCAGCCCCCCCTTTTTGTTTTGGAGAGGAGCTCCTAGGGTTGAACCCAGTGCTCTTACCCAGAGCCCGCCGACTCTTCCCTTACTTTGCTTTCTTCTTGCCCCCAGATCTGATCATCCACTTGTGCGGATTTTCAGATTTGCTTAGGTAGGAGCAGTTCAGAGGCTTTGACCCAGGTTTGGTTCCCAGCACCCATATGGTGATTCACAATTGTCTTTAACTCCATTTCCAAGAGATTTGACACCCTTTTCTGGTCTCGCCGGGCACTAGGCATGTATGCATTGCACATACTTACATGTAAGCAAGACACTCATCTACCTAAATTCAGTCTTTAAAAAACAAGATTTGGTTAGATAAATATATTTTTTTTTCAGATAGACGAAGTAGTAAGCTGCTAAAGGCTAAAAATTCTTAGAAATAATAAGAACTAGATCATTATTTAGTTAATATAATTAGGAGAGGTTAGAGTAGTAGTATATGATACAAGTTCATAACTAAACATGTGGGGTTCCTCTGACTATCTTTTCTTACAGGATTACAAATAGGAGCAAAACATAAACATTAGTTGAAATAAATTTAATGTTTTATGCAACAAGAATGAGCATGTCTTTAGACTTTTACTTAAATTCGAAAGTAATTTGTAATCTAAGTAATTGTAATTTTTTTGTTTCTCTTTTTAGGAATCAAGGAAGGACTGAGGTGAGATTTATATGAAAATTTTATTGAAATTATCAGCTGGGCGTGGTGGTGCATTCCTGTAATTCCAGCACTTGGGAGGAAGGGGTGGGTGGATCAGGAGTAGTTCCAGGCCAGCCTGGGCTACCTCAGATCCTGTTTCACAAAGATCAGCAACAACGGCAAACCACAGTGAGAATATTTAATTGTTAGTAATAGTTGTTGCATTCTGGAAAACTCTTAACTGAAATGAATGTCTGATGGTCAGGAATATGTAAAGGTATAAATGTTACTTGGATGGATGAATGGACTCTTCTAGTTCAGTCTGAGCATTTTTCTTTGCCCTAACTATCCCTCTTAGCATTGTGAAACAATATGGCTTTAGTAATACTTTAGCATTACTTCTGTGGGACAAAGACATTTGATGTGAATTTTGAGGATGTTAGATTTGAAACTATCAAGTCTTAATTCATATTGTGTATATGGTTCCTATCATAATAATAACTGTATAGTTAATAATTCATGATCTTCCTGTCTAGTTGGAAAACCAGTGATTTTATAAATTATTTAAACATAAAATAGTACCATATATTCATGCAAGAGTTTTTAAGCTCTTTAGAGTAGATAGCTTGCTTCTTACCCTTTTCAGATACAGTTGATTTCTCAGCATTAAAATACTCATTCAACAAATGTTGTTTTCCTTCTATGTGCCAAGCATGTGCTAGGTCTTAGGGAATGTGTCAGTAAAAAAGTAACTTCAGTTTTTTTTCTGGAAAGACTGCTTCAGCCACAGACCAGAGAAAACATTGGTAGGCAAGCTCCATCATCTGACACATGGGGATAAATATTCTGTTTATGGCTTAGAAATAAAGGATTTCATGGTGACATTTAAGAAATAAATGTTTAAAAGACTCACATCTTTAAAAAGTTTTTTTAAAAATAATTTATAATCAAAATGTCTGTATAGGTACTTTGAATATAATGTCTATTTTAGTAAGCTTTGTTTTTTTTTTTTTTTTGTCCACTAGGTATCTTTTACTTTGAATGAGGATCTTGCAAATATTCATGATATCGGTGGGAAACCAGCTTCAGTCAGTGCTCCTAGAGAACATCCATTTGTCTTGCAAAGTGTTGGAGGACAGACATTAACAGTGTTTACTGAGAGCTCCTCAGGTAAGGGGGAATAGAATTATGTACTACGATTTCAGTACATGTGTGATTTTCTGTCTCATCCTGCACACCTGTTTGCTTTGTTTAAGGTCATTACCACCTATTGTTTTGTCTGCTTGTCTGTCATATCATGCAGTCTTTCTGCCCTTGTATTTTTCTTGTGATGAATGAAATTTTGACCATTACCTGAGAAGAGCTGAATACCCATGTGGGGATGAACTTTCAGAACAAAACGGATGGGAGACTGTAGTGGTGAGCTGCTCTCCTAAGATTCTGGGCTTGCCAAGCTAAGGCAGCCCTTGCTTGCTTGGCTAAGTTGATCCAGAGCAAAGTTATGCTCTGTACAGTGCTTCCTATTAGGAAATGTTTTAGCTTGCATTTCTGTGCCTATGTGCTTTGTGTTTTGGAAAGTCTTTATAGTTTATAAGGATTAACTTTTATTGTCATTAGCTTCCAGAATGAATGAAGTATAGTTTTTAAATTGTGTGTGACAGCAATGTGACATTGGTTCAGTTTGTGAATTAAATGTGGAGGAAAGCTTGCTGGCTTGTTTTCATTAGTCTTTTACTGTTACCTTTCACTGAATTCAGAACATTGCTGTTCAAGCAGCACTCCCTCTCCATTCAGTAGAATTAATTTTCTCCTAATTTAAAGTTACTGGTTATGAAAAGAAAAAATTAATTTTGTTGTATTTCAAGCATTTTAAAGCAAACTGTAAGATATTATGTATGCCAAGAATGCGGTTGCTTTAAAAAAGCCTCATGAAGCATTTTTGTCATAGTTTGGATTTTAGTAACTGTATGAACTGATCTAATAGATTTCCAGTAGCTTTATAAACTGATCTAGTCTTTTCTTTTTTCCCTTTGATGGAGAATCTAAAACAATGCTGAGTATAACTTTAGGGACATGAAGCCAGAGCTACAGGATTAATTTTACTTTTATTATTATTATTATTGGTTTTTCGAGACAGGGTTTCTCGTGTAGCTTTGCGCCTTTTCTGGATCTCGCTCTGTAGACCAGACTTGCCTCAAACTCACAAGAGATCCACCTGCCTCTGCCTCCCAAGAGCTGGGATTAAAGACATGTGCCATCACTGCCCAGCTTTTTTACTTTTATTCTTTTTTTTGTTTTTTTTGTTTTTTTTTAATTTATTTTGCAATACAATTCAGTTCTACATATCAGCCACGGATTCCCTTGTTCTCCCCCCCTCCCGTCCCCCTCACCTTCCCCCCAACCCCCCCCCCCCCCCCATTCCCATCTCCTCCAGGGCAAAGCCTTCCCCACAGACTGAGGTCAACCTGGTAGACTCAGTCCAGGTAGGTCTAGTCCCCTCCTCCCAGGCCGAGCCAAACAATCCTGCATAGGCCCCAGGTTTCAAACAGCCAACTCATGCAATGAGCACAAGATCTGGTCCCACTGCCTGGATGCCTCCCAAACAGATCAAGCCAATCAACTGTCTCACCCATTCAGAGGGCCTGATCCAGTGGGGACCCCTCAGCCATTGGTTCATAGTTCATGTGTTTCCATTCATTTGGCTATTTGTCCCTGTGCTTTATCCAACCTTGGTCTCAACAATTCTCGCTCATATAAACCCTCCTCATTCTTGCTAATTGGACTCCCAGAGATCCACCCGGGGCCTAGTCATGGATCTCTGCATCCAGATCCCTCAGTAGTTGGATGAGGTTTCTAGCACAACAATTAGGGTGTTTGGCCATCCCATCACCAGAGTAGGTCAGTTCGGGCTGTCTCTCGACCATTGCCAGCAGTCTGTTGTGTGGGTATCTTTGTGGATTTCTGTGGGCCTCTCTAGCACTTTGCTTCTTCCTATTCTCATGTGGTCTTCATTTACCATGGTCTCCTATTCCTTGTTCTCCCTCTCTGTTGTTGATCCAGCTGGGATCTCCCGCTCCCCCAAGCTCTCTTTCCCTCAACCCTCGCCTTTCATTACCCCCACTCATGTCCAGGCTGTTCATGTAGATCTCATTCCATTTCTCTGTCATTGGGCGATCCCTGTGTCTTTCTTGGGGTCCTGTTTTCCAGGTAGCCTCCCTGGTGATGTGAGTAGCAGACAAGTCATCCTTGTTTCATGTCTAGTATCCTGCTATGAGTGAGTACATACCATGTTTGTCTTTCTGAGTCTGGGTTACCTCACTCAGGATGATTTTTTCTAGATCCATCCATTTGTCTGCAAACCTCATGATGCCATTGTTTTTCTCTGCTGAGTAGTATTCCATTGTGTATATGTACCACATTTTGTTTATCCATTCTTCAGTTGAAAGGGCATCTGGGTTGTTTCCATGTTCTGGCTATTACAAACAATGCTGATATGAACATAGCTGAACAAGTGCTCTTATGGTGTGGTTGAGCATTTCTTGGGTATATGCCCAAGAGTGGTATAGCTGGATCTTGGGGGAGATTGATTCCCAATTTTCTAAGAAAGCGCCATATTGATTTCCAAAGTGGTTGTACAAGCTTGCATTCCCACCAGCAGTGGAGGAGAGTTCCCCTAGCTCCACATCCTCTCCAGCATAAGGTGTCTTCAGTGTTTTTGATCTTAGCCATTCTGACAGGCGTAAGGTGGTATCTCAGAGTTGTTTTGATTTGCATTTCCCTGATGACTAGGGATGTTGAGCAGTTCCTTAAATGTCTTTCGGCCATTTGAGTTTCCTCTGTTGAGAATTCTCTGTTTAGTTCTATAGCCCATTTCTTTTTTTTTTTTTTGGTTTTTCGAGACAGGGTTTCTCTGTGTAGCTTTGCGCCTTTCCTGGAACTCACTTGGTAGCCCAGGCTGGCCTCGACCTCACAGAGATCCGCCTGGCTCTGCCTCCCGAGTGCTGGGATTAAAGGCGTGCGCCACCACCGCCCGGCTCTATAGCCCATTTCTTAATTGGACTGTTGGGCATTTTGATGTCTAATTTCTTGAATTCCTTATATATTCTGGATATCAGTCCTCTGTCAGATGTGGGGTTGGTGAAGATCTTTTCCCATTCTGTAGGCTGTCGCTTTGCCTTGTTGACCGTATCCTTTGCTCTACAAAAGCTTCTCAGTTTCAAGAGGTCCCATTGATTGATTGTTTCTCTCAGAGTCTGTGCTACTGGTGTTCTATTTAGGAAGTAGTCTCCTATGCCAATGCGTTCAAGACTACTTCCTACTTTCTCTTCTAGCAGGTTCAGAGTAGCTGGATTTATGTTGAGGTCCTTGATCCACTTGGACTTAAGTTTTGTGCACGGTGATAGATGTGGATCTATTTGCAGCCTTCTACATGTTGTTATCCAGTTTTGCCAGCACCATTTGTTGAAGATGCTTTCTTTTTTCCATTGTGCACTTTTGGCTTCTTTGTCAAAAATTATATGTTCATAGGTGTGCGGATTAATGTCAGGGTCTTCAATTCGATTCCATTGGTCCACATGTCGGTTTTTATGCCAGTACCAAGCTGTTTTTATTACTGTAGCTCTATAGTAGAGCTTGAAGTCAGGGATTGTGATGCCTCCAGAAGTTGTGTTATTGTACAGGATTCCTTTGGCTACCCTGGGTTTTTTGTTTTTCCATATGAAGTTGAGTATTATTTTTTCCAGGTCTGTGAAGAATTGTGTTGGTATTTTGATGGGGATTGCATTGAATCTGTAGATTGCTTTTGGTAAGATTGCCATTTTTACTATGTTAGTCCTGCCTATCCATGAGCATGGGAGATCTTTCCATTTTCTGACATCTTCTTCAATTTCTTTTTTCAGGGACTTAAAGTTCTTGTCATATAGGTCCTTCACTTGCTTGGTTAGTGTTACCCCAAGGTATTTTATGTCATTTGTGGCTATAGTAAAGGGTGATGTATCTCTGATTTCCTTCTCCGCTTCTTTGTCCATTATATATAGGAGGGCTACTGATTTTTTTGAGTTGATCTTGTATCCTGCTATGTTGCTGAAGGTGTTTATAAGCTGTATCAGTTCCTTGGTGGAATCTTTGGGGTCGCTCAAGTATACTATCATGTCATCTGCAAATAGGGAAAGCTTGACTTCTTCCTTTCCAATTTGTATCCCCTTAATCTCCTTATGTTGTCTTATTGCTCTGGCTAGAACTTCAAGTACTATATTGAATAAGTATGGGGAGAGTGGACAGCCTTGCCTCGTTCCTGATTTTAGTGGAATTGCTTTGAGTTTCTCTCCATTTAATTTGATGTTGGCTGTTGGCTTGCTGTAAATTGCCTTTATTATGTTTAGGTATGTTCCCTGTATTCCTGATCGCTCCAATACCTTTATCATGAAGGGGTGTTGGATTTTGTCAAATGCCTTTTCTGCATCCAGTGAGATGATCATATGGTTTTTTTCTTTGAAGTTGTTTATATGGTGTATTACATTGACGGACTTTCGTATGTTGAACCACCCTTGCATCCCTGGAATGAATCCTACTTGATCATGGTGGATAATTGTTTTGATGTGTTCTTGGAGTCTGTTTGCCAGTATTTTATTGAGTATTTTTGCATCAATGTTCATGAGGGAGATCGGTCTGTAGTTCTCTTTCTTTGTTGTATCCTTGTTTGGTTTAGGAATTAGGGTAATTGTAGCCTCGTAGAAGGAGTTTGGTAATGTTCCTTCTGTTTCTATTGTGTGGAACAATTTAGAGAGTATTGGTATTAACTCTTCTTTGAAGATCTGGTAGAATTCTGCGCTGAAACCATCTGGTCCTGGGCTTTTTTTGGTTGGGAGACTTTTAATGACTGTTTCTATTTCGTTAGGGGTTATTGGACTATTTAAATAGTTTATCTGGTCTTGATTTAACTTAGGTATGTGGTACCTATCCAGAAAGTTATCCATTTCTTTTAGGTTTTCCAGTTTTGTCGAATAGAGGTTTTTGAAGTATGACCTGATGATTCTCTGGATTTCCTCAATGTCTGTTGTTATGTCCCCCTTTTCATTTCTGATTTTGTTGATTTGGATGCTCTCTCTCTGTCTTTTGGTTAGTTTGGATAAGGGCTTGTCTATCTTGTTGATTTTCTCAAAGAACCAACT